CCGGTCGCTTGCAGGCTCGCCGCCCACAAGGTCGTCGAAGGAGGCGGACGGCGAAGTAGGGTTTAGGAGTTCAGGGTCTAGGGATTTAGAGTGAGATTTTGGGATTAAGCTGTCGGGTCAAGTTCGCGATTTTGGGTTGCAGGTTTCGGGCTTGAGAGTACAGTTAGGGTAAGGTTAGGGCAGAAATTGAGGTGGGATTGAGGGCTTGAGTCAGACTTCGTGGTACGGGGGCTCTGAGGTTTAAAGCCATGGGTTTGAAGGCTTGCAGTGCTTTTCTCGCAATTGCAAAGCGTTGTCCTGTTTGCCCATGCGGGAAAGCTGCACACCTTGCATCCGTCTCATAGGTCAAGCTTCCCATAGATCCAGTCATCAGTTTGATGCTTACAAGCGATGTTCTGGTTTCGAAGGTGGGTGGGGCAAACAAACAGGCACCTGCTTCCAGACTTAAGCCCCATGCCACTGCAACATCTGTAGCCAATTTCCCTTTCAAGCTTTCCGTAGCAAAATCTACGCCATTACAGCAGGTTCAGAACTTGCCACTGGCACTCGGTGCTAGGACAGTGTGTGCATAGTCTTCCGGAGTTTTCGACAACGATTCCTTTTATTGTCTGTGAGGCCTCCGCGCGCACAGCACCGGCACCAGTGGCAGAGAGGGAGGTACGAACCCCCCTCTTATCCGGGACAAAGAGGAGTTGTGCAATATAGAGGCCCGAAATTACGAACATGATTCCTTACGGCATTAGGGTTCTGGTCTTTCTATTCTTAAGGCCACCATTTTGGAGGCGAGTCTGGCTGAGTACAGTTGGCCGGCGAAGGGTGCCCCGAACTGTGTTCAGGCAAGTGGTAAGTACCAATACTATTTTGGGGCCCCTTATTGGAATTCTAGTATAAGATACTCCAAAACGGCCGTTGTATCAGCTATTTGTCTTGGCGCCAAGGGCTCCTCAACAGTAGCCAAAACCCAATTTAACAGAACACAGACGCTCGCGCTACTTACTTGAAGCTGCTGTGCTGGGTGTGAAGCTTTTGAAGGTGCAAAAGCCAAGTGGTCGCGAGCTCGGAGGGTGCGCAGGTGGCGGCCATTTCTGTGCAGGGATTCATCGATAGTACTGGTGAGCGTGAGGAGTAGGTCTCTACGTTGTTTCCAGAATAGCCGTGATCGCATTTTGGGTGTTGTCAAGGAATTAATAGTGGGTATATGCGTCTATATATACAAGAATAGATTATAGACTACAGCGACAGCACTGTTGCAGAAACTGTTGTTTTTTCGCACGAGGGAACCCTCGATGTTTTTGAAGCGTGTTTAAACGTTTCCGGATGTAAAGGTACGCTGGCTTTCCACCCAAAAACCAACGGTACCCTGAACCCTGAAAAGAATGACACGGAGAGAAGATGCTTCCAAGCCTGCCGTTTCTGAGTGAACTGGAGTCCCTTCCGGTGACTGCCAACTATATAACCGTCACAAAAACACACAAACACAGGTATTTCAACTACAACCGCTTCGGGTCTAGGGTTTGGGCTCAGGTGCAACGCACGGAATTTCACTTCCCTGAATCCACCCTAAGCCGTGACGGGAGGGACCCTAAACCCTAAGCTCCATTGAGCAGATTAAAGGAGGCCGATGAACTGACCGTCCGATGGTGCCCGCCAGTGCTATTCGTTTTGGCTCCTTGTTAGAATGATTCTATGTCATACCCCGAAGCCCTGTCGTATTCCTTGAAGCCCCTATCTAATGGAACCCGCAAAGATCCCGATAGAGCTTTGCAATTTAAAGAACGCCTAGTCTAACAATGAGGCTCTATACTATCATCCTTTCTGGAAACTCTGGTCTTGTGCGACGGACAGCAGATGAACGCCAGCTGAGATGAAACCAAGCAGAAGCAACAGCAAATCTCGGACCAAATCCGAAACCCTACGCCAGCGACGCTAAACCCCTACATCATAAACACGGACAGTAAAACCCCAAACCCTACATCGTGCACCGTAAACCCTCAACCTTACAACCTCCAGCCCTAAACCCTACACCCTGAAGCCCCTCAACCTCTGCACCCAAAAAACCCTTCAATCGTCCCAGACGAGGCCGTTGCAACTCGCCTTCAAGACCCGCCGCCATGCCATCTGGGAAGCTGCTGGGTGCCTCAGTGTGTCCAGTTGGGTCATCCTTTAAAGAGATTAAAACAGGTCCCTTAAGAGTTTCTGCGTTCTCAAAAATAGGCTCCCTTGCAGGGTCTTTTGTATAAGGGTGCAATTTGGGGACCTGAAAGGTCCTAATTCAGAGAATCACTCATATGGAAATTTATGTTGGTTTATCGGGGTATTGAGAGAGTTTGCTGTATACGGCGCCTCAGACTTCAAACAGGGTTTTGAGGTTTTAGTCTAGCAAAAACACAAAGTAGTCCTCTAGAGCAACCCAAGACACACTTTCAGTAACCTTAAACGCCCAAACACGAAGTTTATAGCAATCTTCACACAAACCGCTTTCGGATCCCTCGCAAACCGCCGTAAGTAACCCAAATCCGCCAAAGCCCTATTTTTGATCCCACGAACCCAAATCCCCAAAACCCCAGAGCTCAAACACAAAAAAAGCTCAAGGGCAGCTTCGGCGCCGTCAGGCGCGCTGCCGGATTGGCGGATCAGGTTTGGGGTTTAGGGGTTTAGGGTTTAAGGGTTTAGGGTTTAGGGGGTTTGGGGTTTAGGGGTTTAGGGGTTTAGGGGTTTAGTGTTTCTTCAGAGTGTCTTTTAGTCTAAAGGTGTGCATGGGGCCGCCATTGCTATCGACTCGTAGCAGTGGGCAGCTTCCTAAAATCCCTGAACCCCAAATTCTGAAAGCCCTAAACCCATCAAACAGAACCTCATACAGCCCTACCTTCATGAACCATAACGTATTTTTTGGTAGGTTCTTATTATAAACCCTAATATAGAATTTATAGGGATCAGGGTCCTACAAAAAGTTTGGTTTTGGTTGTTCAAGGTACCGCAAACCGCGAAAACCCTAAACCCTCGACCCTAATCCCTACATGCCGACACCCTAAAGCTCGGAGGCTTCTTGACCTTTACCCGCATATGTGCACGTTTCGACATAGGGGCCTTACTAATTACTAATCGTATTTATAGTATACTGGGCCCCAAAGCCTTATGCTTTTTTTTGGTGAGGGCCCGTTCAATAGCCCCCCCCCTCCCCCCCGACCAAAAGTTTTGGCTTGAATGGGTTTGGGTGGCTTTGATTAAGTTAGAAATGAAATTGCAGTGTCCGGGGTTCGGGTGCTCGCTCAGAGTTTCCGAAAATAGGGGGTACCTTATTTGGGGGTCCTTATAATAAGGATCCTACTACTTAGGGTACTATATTAGGGTCCCCTATTTTCGGAAACTCCCATATGGGAAGGGAATTGTGAGGTCCCGAGGTGGGGGGGGCTCACGGTCTGGGTGGCTTGGATTAATCATCAATGAAGTAAAATAAGGGGGAATTGGGAGGTCCCGGGGTTCGGGGGCTTAAGTAGAAGGGTTCGGGGGGGGGGGGGGGGGTTTGTAGGTTTCGGTGCTTAAGTACTCGGGTTCAAAAGGGTTCTGTAGGTTTCGGGAGCTTTGGTGCGGTTTGCTTTGGTTGTAAATTGGGACTGTTTCGTGGTGGCTTGGGTTGATTCGGGGTCTGGTTTTGTTTCAGGCGGGGTCGGCTTAAGTACCTAGACCCTCCATCTACCCTCTATTAGTACCCATGATTTGGGACCATATACCCCTATTTGAGGGTACAAGGAGGGTCCTGGTAGGTGGGGTTTCCGGGTTTAGGGAGAGCTTCAGGCTTCAGGGCGCCGGGTTTTGTAGGGCTTGGACTGGGCTTCAGGGTCCTGGGTGCCTCAAGATTGACTGACCATCAGCAGACAGGAGCAACACCACCCAAAAGCCATCCGGCAAAGAAAAGGGCATCAAGCCGCCCTGTTGTTTTTGTTTTTTATATTCGGCTCGAATTGGCAAAAAAGCGCATGAATTCGGCACGCGATACTACCAGGGCCCTCAAATTATTAAGGCCCCTATAGTAGCCCACAAGACAAACTCTGGGTTGACAGCTGCTGCGTAGAATGCCATTAGTTGCCTCAAGGGGTTTCTGTGATGTAGGGACCTGAGTAAGAAACCCTGGCCCTAAAACCCCAATGCATTAGGATTCATATTAGGAACCCCAATGACCCTAAACCCTAAACCCTAAACCCTTCATATTAGGAACCCCAATGAAGATTCAGGGTTCCTTAATCAGATGCCTACATAACGGCTTACTGCAATGGTTTGCTTTAGAGGTTTTTATAACGGTTGCTATGGGTTTTGGCTGCAGGGTGTCGGAGTCATGGTTTATCCAAAAAACCCACCTTTTGAGGGGCTCACACAGGGCAATCATAACTAGGAAATCGAATTTCTTATACATAATTCATAGGTAGGACTTAAAATTATTAATGGTGAATTATGTCTTTTACTTGGATATCATTATAATTGAACAAGGCCGGTTTTTATGGGCTTCCTCTCGTCCAAGAGACAGAAGCGGACAGCGGAATTCGGATCGAGAGCAGGGTGGCTCGAATTTGGAACCTCTTAGGCCATATGGGAGTTTCCGAAAATTAGGGGTACCTTTGTTTGGGGTCCTTAGTCATTATAATAAGGATCCTACTATTTAGGGTACTATATTAGGGTCCCCTGTTTTTGGAAACTCCCATATAGGCCCTTACATAGGAGCCTAAGTATACTTACCAAGGTTTTACCTATCATCACCAATGTTAGTCCTCAGAGTGCTTGATTACATGATATTGTAATATGCACCCAAGACCCTATTTAAGGCCGAGATTACCCAAACCACCAAGACTTGTAAACACTCTTACTCTGTCCGCATGGGATCTGAGCACCAGAATGGTCATGGCATGCACAGAGATTTTAGCCCAAAGGTTTAGGATTTACCAGGGCCCTAATTTTTCAAGAAACCATACGAAGGGACCCTAGAAAGGGTACCATTATCCCGCGACATGCTGCACGTGTGGAGGCCCTCTGGGGAGCAAGTGGCTAGTATTCCCACCCGGAAAGTGGGTCGCGTGCATGATTTGAAGCAGCATCTGGACACTCTCCTTGGGGTCCCACGGTTCCGGCAGCGAATCGTGCATGAAGATGCGGTCTTGGATGACGATGCTCAGCTGGCCTCGATTACGGATGTGCAGCTCGTGGTGCTTCACATTTCCGAAAGGGATGCCAAATACTTCTTAAAAGCAGTGTCTGGCAACTCCCATGTCCATGTGGTGGAAATGCTGCAAAAGCAGCACGATCCGAACCTGGCCGCGCACTATTGGGGGAGGCACCTCACCCCCCTTCAGGCGGCTGCCGAGGCAGGTTACGTAAGCATGGTAATGTTGTTGTTGGAGTCTGGGGCGCACGATGTGTCCGACTCCGGCGAGCAAGTGGCTCTTGCTGCTGCTTCAAGGGCTGGCCACCGGGAGGTGGTCTCCTTGCTCTTGGAGGCGGGTGGTGATAGGGCTGATAGGGACTGCGCTCTGCAAGCCGCCACCGAGGCAGGGCATGCGCAGATTGTCCGGATGTTGTTGGAGAGGGGTGGTGTTTACGATCTGACAACCCGTGGCTACCGTGAAAGTTTGGTAGCTGCATCGAGCACCCTCAACGAGCAGATCCTGTTACTTAGCTAGCCAGTGGGAGAACTTTAAAGTCTTTGGTTTTACATGTTTAGTCTTGTCTTGGGAAGTTTGATTGCTTTTGGACCTGGTTATTCGAAGAAGAGAGGTCATTGCTGCTGGAGGCTCACGGTCGCCTTGGCTTCTTTGACAGGGGCTGGACCCGAGCTGTCCTGGGCGGGGTGGTGGCCAGATGCAGATCCTCGTCTTTTTGCATCTTCGGAGCCTTCCTCGCTGGGTTGTGGCTCTTCTTCCTCATCAGTGGTTATGCTTCTCCGACGAAGGATGAAAGAGCACGGGAGGATAGAGAGGCAGTCGCAACAGTCTGCATCGCTTGTACGATCATGCTTCTTCTCTTCGCCATTCCCTACAAGATTCTCAGTCTGCTGCTGGTGTCGTGGGCCGTGTCGGGCCGTGCCACCCAGGGCCCGACGCAGGCGCCTGAGGCTGCGAGCTTGCTTGGACAAAAGAGTGCTCAGACGGTTGAGGCTGCAGGGAAAAGCAAGACCGAGCTCTATACAAGCAGAACCGGAACAACGGTCTGAAGCAAAGATATGCAGCACAAGCATTGTATCTATATTTGATGCACTGGCACGGTTCATTCAGCCATTGTGTGATCCTCCTCATCATCTTCGTCATCGTCATCACCACTACTACTCTTATCTTCAGCACCATCGCCATCATCGTCGGCATGATGGCTGTGATCGCCATCACAAGCATTGTCACTCATGCTTGTCTGTCCACCCACCTCACATCATAGGGACCCTTAGGGGGGTACTGGGGAGGAGGGGCAGGCGACTATACTTCCCTAAATATGCCTTATCAGGTCCTTATTACGGGTATTCAGCCTCCCTACCCCCCCTCCCCCTTGCATCCCCGAAGATTCCTTATGATTACAGGTAGCTATCAGCCTCATGGTAGGGCAAAAGGCCCACGCCCGGCTGGTACACCATCCTGGTCCTATGAGCCCTAAACCCCTAAGCCAGAAGCCCCCGAAACTCTATGACCTCTAAACCCTAAACGCAGATATCCTACAAGAACTCCTTACAAAAGCCTTAAATGCCAAACTAGCAGTGGCACATCACTGGAAGCGTCAGCCAAGCATCACAACAGCAGCAGCAACAACAGCAACAGCAGCAGCAGCAACAACAAGAACCAAGAACTGCAACAACAGCAACACCAACACGAAGACCAACCCCTCAACGCCAGTGTCAGCTTCAGCGTCAACGACCACCGCCGCCGCCACCACCGCCGCCACCACCACCGCCAGCACCACCACCACGACTACCGCCACCGACAACATCGTCATGAGTCATCAGCATCAGCATCAACACCAACAGCCACACCAGCTCTCCGAGAAAGCAGCGAAGAACAAGCAAGCGCAAAAAGTCTAGTCCTCTGGTGAATAAACCCCTTTCCTTGAGTAAGCTTTTTTTAGGGATTTAAGCTGAAGGCCCAAAAAGAGACGGTCTCTCAACCGGGGAACCTAAACCCTAACCCAGAACCCCTACACCCTAGACCCCGAAACCCCAAAACCCTGAAAGCCTAAACCCCTCTAGTCCTGGCCTCTCGGACTTTTCGGGGCACTGCAGAAACGGAGCTCAAAAAAAAGCCAAACCCTGAACCCCTAAACCATACTGCAGAAACGGAGCTCAAGAAAAGCTAAACCCTGAACCCCTAAACCCCCAACCCCTGAACCCTAAACCGCTAAGCCCCTAAGCCCCTAAACCCCTTCAAGACCCCTAAGCCCCGAAACCCCTAAACCCCGCAGTTCTGACCACAGGCGACGTGCAGGTGAATCCCACAGGCAAAGTCTCTGCACCGGACGAGACTGGAGCCTAGCTGCTTCAGGGGAAGGGGGGGAGGGGGGTTGGGGTTTAGGGTTTAGGGGTTTAGGGCTTAGGGTTTATAGGGTGTAGGCAGGATCTAGTGGTTTAGTTTAGGGCTTAGGGCGTTGGAGACTTGTGTTTACTTTAGGGCTTAGGGCGTTTGAGACTTGTTTTTGGGTGGATTTGAGTGAGCACTTTAAGGGCGCGGGGTTTGGGGTTCAGCACTTTAGGATTTAGGGGTTTACATGTCTGTGACTTTGCCTTGAACAAGTCTGCGAATCTGCGTCTCTGAACGCCCAAAACCCCCAATGTCAAAGGCACCGCGTCCATGGGAGCTTATAAGTATCATAACCCCAATTAGGATCCCTTTTAGGCTACTTATATCAGTCTATTTACTGCCTATAATTAAGTCCACCAAATCCCAAGGCACTGCGTCCATATCTTGGCCGGCCACAACGGCTTCGTTCTGAGCCTTTGCACCTTGGCGGCTGGACTAGGCCCATAAGCTCCTTCAGACACCGGCAGGCCCGCTATCCGGACTCTAAACCCGAACGCCCGAACCTTAAACCCTAAATGGGAGTTTCCGAAAACAGGGGACCCCCGAAGATAGTACCCTAAATAGTAGTATCCTTATCATAAGGGACCCCCCCCCAAAAAAAAAAAGAAACAAGTACTCCTAATTTTCGGAAACTCCCAAATCTCAAACTCGAATCTGTAGCCCGAAACCAGACATCCTCAACCCGAAAGCCTAAACCCAAATGAACCCAAAGCATCATAAACCTTTATCCTCTATACTTCAATCAGAATGATAAGTGATTGTAACCAGGCTGTTCAGTGGTACACTTTTTTACTTTCAGGTTTCCGGGTTCCTGTTGTAGAGTATGAAGGATAAAAGAGTATGTACTTCTTCCCAGTGGGTTACTGAACAGCCTAGGTAACTATAGTTACCTCATTTATAGCCCTAGTTACTCAGTCCCATGATCTTCTAAGCAGGGTGATTAAGCTTTAAGCCCTAAGCCCCTGAAGCGTTAAATCCTGTACCATCCTTAACCCTTAAACCCTAAACCCTAAACAGCAAGCCCGGTGCAGAACCCAGGTACTGTCGGCGACGTTCTTTTCACCGGATCTCAGGCACGCTGCAGCTCGAGGGAAGAAGCCATCACTCGGGTTTAGGGTTTGGGGTTTACCTGGAGCCCCAACCCCCCCTCTACTATACCCCAAAAAGCCACGGTTCAGGACCATGAGGCCTCCCTAAACCCTAAAGCCCTTGCGGGGTCGGGTTTGGGGTTTGGGGTTCAGCAGCTGAAACCCTCTGATCTTCCTCTGGGTGCGATTTTGGGGCTGGAGTTGGATCATAGGGACCTTTAGGGGGGTAGGGGGGAGGGGGGTAGGGACTATACTTCCTTAAGAATAGGCCATATTCGGCCCTTATCATGAACATTAAGGGCACCCTACCCCCGCCCTCCCCCTACAATTTCCCCTACCCCCCTAAGGGTCCCTATGGGTTCTAGGGTTTTATCTTACAGGGTTTACTCGTGCTTTGATTAATTCACTTGAGGGTTCAGGGCTTCCTCGAGTTCTGATGGGTTTAGGGTTTGGGGTTTAGGGTTTAGGGTTTCGGGTTCAGGGTTTGGGGCTTTGGGTGCATAGGGTTTAGGGTTTCGGGTTTAGGGTTCAGGGTTGGGGGTTTAGGGTTTGGGGTTTGGGGGTTTGGGTGTTTGTAGAGATTTGATCATTTAAATTTGGGGTTTCGGGGGATTTGGGGCTAGTAGCATAGAGCATTACAGAAAAGCTTAAAGGAACCCAAGTCTAATTCTTAACAGACTTTCAAACGCCAAACCCAAACCCCAATTATCAGGCAGTTACTAGGCCGCCGCTATACTACATAAAAAGTTTTTGTTACTCAAAACACACATGTGGACCTAATTGGCCGGGAATCAAGACACCAAGAAATCTATGATAGGGGCCCGGCAAGAAGTAGGTAACAGTAGTGATCAAAGCCCGACAATCAAAATTCCTTTGTCGAAACTCTAAACCTTTGGTACTTTCCCCCCCGCCACTCTGTAACAGCTTGATACATATTCATCAACAGATATAAGAGAAATATATATATATATATATATATATATATATATCCCTAGTACAGGCAGCGCCCAACCTAAACCCTAGGCCGCACAGCGAAGCTTAGGCTACTTGTTGCTCGTACGTGCCGCTGCAAGGCTTAGCCAAAAGCTGCTAAACCCTGAGCACAGGCTCCTCATGACATAGGAATTCCCGCTCTCAACAATTGGAAAAGGGACCAAAAACACCTGAGCACCGCTAGACTACACCTCCTTCCGAATCCTGGAAGGACTGCAACATCATGATCTGGGACCTGAACAACCTGCAGGACACCCATGATCATAACGATAGCCAAAGTCAGAGCGTAAACACAACAGTAGCAAGGAATGATCACACGTACTATCGCATACTCAGAATATCACCATACGTTCCCAACGTGGCTTGTGCTTGTGAGCTTGTCGAGCCACACCTGAGAAGGTTTTGGGGCTTAGGCTTAGAGGTTCAGCATTTTCCGTTCGGGGTTTCAGCATGCCTTTCAAGTCGTTCTTTTGTGGTGGAGCGGAGTGTGTAAGTCAAGTGGCATGCAGACGGGGTGATGACACAATTTAACGCGCCATTTCGCGGTAGGGCATAAGGGTTTCAGAGTTTTGGGTTTTGGACTTTTCGGGCTTAAGTAAGGGCATGTTAAGTTTAAGGTGTAGGGGAAGGGTTCTAAGCTTCGCACGCAGACTTGAAAGCGCAATAGAGCGATTTCCCCTGCATGCTTTTTCGGCGTGTTATGCAAAGCCGGGCGAGATGCTGCTTCGGATGAGTTCGAAGACGACACCATCCAGGAGTCGGCGCATCCTGCTCATCATGCCCCCTTTCTGCATCGAAGTTATCGAACATGCAGGATCCATTGCTACTATCATTGCCCCATCATGTGATCATGTGGGGTTTAGGGTTCGGTTTTTTGGGGTTAGCAGCCATGGCCACTATCATTGCCACATCATGTGTGATCATACGCGCTGGTGGAAGCACCCTCATGTCGCAGTACATCGGTACCCTTCCGGGGCACCGCGGCTTCGTCAAGTGCATGGTGGCGCCAGCCTGAGCGCCGTGATGTGGATTTTCGGGTCTGCTAATTGGAACCGTTGCATAACTTCGCAGATGATGAGCAATATATAGAGGCTTTAATTAATAATCACCTACACTATTTGCGGGTTCCTGGTTATAATAAGTAAAAATAGTACAAAGGGCTCCAAAACGCTATTTAAGTTATTAAGGCCGTATATTATTCCAAAGCTTACGGCTGACGAGCACTTACTCACGTGTCGGCTTGTGCTTGGGTCACTGAGGCGACACTGGGAAGGAAGCTACTTTGCTCAGGTTCGCAGGACCGTCAGTGGGGGGACTTGCCGCGTTCGGCGTTGGGATTAATTAGAGGGTTTAGAGGTCAGGGTTCAGCCTGGAGATTAGGATCTAGAGCTGGTTAAGACTTTGAGGACATCTAGGGTCGCTGCAGGTTCGGGGTTGGATCCTAAACCACTGAAGCCTTATGCCCTAAACCCTTCTTTGGCCCTTTAGGTTCACCCTACACCTAAGTTTAATAATTATAGATTCAGTTTTTGCAAGTCACTCAGGAATGCTTCGGTTCCTTTGAGGGGTTTCGTGAGCTTCTCGGTCGGTCGACTGAAGCCGCGGGCCTAGATAAGTAGAATAGCCTTTGGAGTACATGCAGTATAGTTGTAGTAACCTAGTAGTCGAGTAGGTAACCTTTAACCTTTTTTGGCCTCTATAATCCCTATATAACGAAAAAGGTTAACCTTTAGTTCGCCATGATACCCGACAAGTAGGGTAAAGAGCCGTATGCTTCGAGTGCTTAGGCTATTGGGTTCGGGCCGGCGGTCTTAAGCAGCACACCCTTATCCCAACCTTACAGTAGAAGCCAGACAGGTGGAATATGATTATCCTAACCCTTCTATGGTAAATTATAGGGATATCCTACCCTGAAACCATATTCCAACTTTCTGGCGTTCCATTTAAACACTGAAAGTTTCATTCGGTGTTTTCAAAGATGAGCAGCCCTGAACGTTAAGCCCCTGAAGCCCCAAACCCTCACCCGTCGTCCAGCTCTACTGCCCGAGGGCCTCAAAGATTCGGAATTCTAGGCCGCAACTAGAGGTTAGGTTTGGGGATTTGGGGGGGTGAGCTATTGGCTATTGGTTTTACGGTTTAAGGGGTCTAGGGTCAGGGTTATTGAGGGTTTACACAGTGTGCCAACCGTGCCAGCACGGCAACAATCGGAGGACAAGACGATCAAGGTTTGGAGCCTGGAGACCTTCTCGTCCACGAAGACACTCTACGGGCACACCAGCACCTCGGACAGATCAAACTTGATGAGGCAGATGTTTTTTCCTACTGCAGGAACCTGATTAGCATGTACTATGTACTACATGCTATATGCTGTATACTATATGCTAGTTGCTGAAGACTTTCCACGACTTCACCCCTCAGAGATTGCTTGCATCTGAGGCGAGGTGAACAGCCTGACACTCATGGATGGTGCGCCGGACTCCTCCAGTTGAAGGGTCATGGGACTTCGCAAGGGTTTAGGGTTTGTAGGTTATAAGTTAGGGTTTAGGGTTTAGGGTTTAGGGTTTAGGGTTTAGGGTTTAGGGTTTTTGTAGGTTATAAGTTAGGATAAGGAAGGCTATAAGTAGGTTGCCTTAAGGGTCAGGTACCCCCAGTTGAGGTTTCTGGTTCTTCGGAGTTGAACTCCGAAGAGCTGCCTTCAGCCCAATGCTTACCTTTTCGTAGCAGGGAATGGAGGAATGGAGTACAATTATAACTACCATTACTACCATTCTTCCATTCCCTACTAACCAAAGCTAAGAATTTAGACCGACCCTAGCATCTAAGCCCGGATCTGTCCGTGAAATGACGTGATTTCTCGCTTGTATCTCCCGGAGAGCCCATAAAACACTGGTCATAAGCCGTAACCTCGAAATCCCAAACCCCCAAACTCCAGAAATCCAAGCCGTAATCCTAGTCCATAAACCCGAAACCCTAACCCAGAGAGCCCAATACCCCTTAATTAAGGAAGATAGCTTAAATCATAATATGAAGCCCCTTATATTTTAAGCTATGTTGCTTAATTAAGGGGTATTGGGCTCTCTGGGAACCGCCCAACCTTGAACCGGAAACCTTAAGCCCAAAACCACAGTTTTGCATGCCAGGTGGGGACACCCTCATATCCGCTGGGGAGGACGATGCCTCGCTGCGGGGTTTTGTCAAAGGAAGTCGAAACTCTAAACCCCTAAACAACAGAGCCCTAAACCCTGAACCCTTAGCATGAGTATGTGTGTGTATATATATATACAGATGGGTTATACCGAGGGTGTTTATGGGTATTGGAGCCTGAGTACTTAGAATTGGGTTTTGGGGCGTGGTGCAGGGACAACATTGAGGCTTCTGTGTAAGTCTGCTTCCTACTTGAACCACGGGGAGTTTTTTGTAGCCGAGAGCATAGAGCCGTAGCCCCGTGCCTTTCGGCTTGAACGGAGGGCACGGGTAATTGCCGTTACATGGACGTCACACCTGCAGCAAGGTTTTTCTTATGTCCCATCGCAGGAACGGCTGTCACGCGCTGGTATACTACCGGAGACTTTCGAAGGACATCGTTAAGCTAGTGTCCTCGTCGTGCTTCAGTCGCAGCGTACGTGGTGCTTCAGAAACCCCAAACCCTGCACTGCAGACCTGCGCAGCACTGACCTCGCTTCGTGCCGACTACAAGGGCCCCTTCAAAAAACAAACGCAGATTTGAACGCCGTCATCACCGGACGAGTCGGGCTCACAATGAGGATGCATACATAGTATCGTGTACACTTACTTTACAATTCTGCAATGACATGTTCTACTTTTGTGAGTCCCCCCATGTATAGATCACATACATGCATTCGCATATATATATATATGTATTTATCTGCTATAGTTTCCAAAAGTGCCCTACACGCTTTAGCCTGGTTGAGCTTTGAAGACCAAAACCGTAAAGCCCCGAACCCCCCAAACACCAACCCCCGACAGCCGCACTAAACCCTAAACCCTCAATCCGAAACCCAAAGCCCTAAAAACCCTCACCCTGAAGCTTACAGACCCAAACACGAAAGACCTACCCGCTGACCCTACCTCCTACCAGTAAGCCGTGATCCTTGAAGCTTAAGCCTTCAAACCATGCAGCCCAACCCGCAGAAGCCTTGCAGGAACCCTAAGCATATAGACCCCAAAAACTTAACAAGGACCCTTAAACCAAATTCTCTAAACACACAAACCCTAAAGTCCTAAGCCCCCAAACCCCCAAACCCAAACTCTCTAAAACCCGAAGCCCTAAACCCCTACTCCATGAACCCAAGCTCCAAATCCCTCAACCCTAAGCCCTATAGTAGATCCCTTTAAAAGGATCCCTTATAGACCCCTTTTTCAAGGAAGCCTCATAGATCCCCTTTAAAGGAACCCTCATAGATCCTCTTTAAAGGAACCCTAATAGATCCCCTTTGAAGGAACCCTCATAGATCCCCCTTAGACCCTTTTTCGGACCCTGCCTTGGAGCTCAGACTCTAACCACCCTAAACCCTTAAATCCCAAAGCCCAAAACCCCTAAACCTAAAACCCTAAACCGGAACCCTAAACCCTAAACTTAAACCCTAAACTGGAACTCAAAACCTAAACTCTGAACCCCTAAATCTGCAATCTTCTGATCCTGCCTTGGAGCTCCTGAGCCATGGCAAAAGTCTCGGGCGGCCAATGGGCAGCGAGCCGTGGCAGCCATGGCCCGGCGCTCAGAAGAGCTAATAAGGGGGCCTTAGTAAGGGGTCATAGTACCCTACTATAGATCTTTGGGGTTTTGGGATTAGGGACGAGGGGCCTTTAGAGCTCCTATGGGGTTAAAGATCTTAAGTGCCGACGGCTTAGGGTTTAGGATTTACGGCAACGGCTGGTTTTGGGCTTCTGATTCTCGGGGTTTAGGTTCGCATCGGAAACGCGGGATACAGTGCCCTCATCTGCAGCCTTATCCTAAAGCAGCGAGTGTTTGAAGCATGTCACATCTTCTGGCAGCAACATGCCCCCATCAGGGGTGTTTGCAGTCTTTGCGTCTGAAGTTTGCTGTAGGTGAGACGTCCCTAAACCCCAAAACCCAAGACCCCAAACCCTGAACACCTTTCAGCCTAATCTCTGGACCCTAAGCCCCAGACCCTCAATGAACTCTAAAACCCTAATCGCCAGACTCGATACTCTAAACCCTAGGTACTATCTTAGAGTTTTAGGGTTTAGGGGTTCCCAAGAGATCCTACCCCCGGGTTGGATTCATCGAGCTGCAATGCGCGGAGAAACCTGTTGAGCTCAGCAACATCGCACCGATCCAAGGCCACTGGCAATGCCTGACACGGTGCACTACGGGTTTAAAGGTTTAATTAGGGGTTTGAGGCGTAAGGAACCCGAACCACGAATGCTCCTCTAATGACTAAGAGCCCCAATATTGCCTTTCAAGGTTTTAGTGTCAACTGCGACATGCCGTTCTACATGGGATGCGCTCTTCGTTCGGGGAGTTGCAACAGCAAGTAGGCTCTAAAATGATAGAGATCGAGCGCAACACAGTGGAGTCCTTTGACAAATGCTGTAGCTCTCTCCTGCGCCGTCATCACACAGAAGCTAGGCCAGAATCTTATTACACACGTAACCACAAAATACCCGAGACCCTAACCCCTATACCCTAAACCCACAAGAAGCGAATCTAGGCGCTTAAGTACTATTTCAGGGGTTTCCTTATCATAGTTATGATCAATTATTGTGTAGTATACCCCAAAAAACTCAGCTTAATTATCAAGGCCCCTACATTAAGAACCCTGATCGTCGCCCTTATAGTAAAGGAGCCCCATGCCCTATTCTAGGTATCAAGGCCTCCACCGGGGGCCCTTCAACCCTGAATCGGAACATTTGGAACTCCGCATCCCCAGAGCCCTTGGCTCCTCACCCTGATCCTTTGAACTCTGTCCTTTTTTAAAGGAAGCTTATAAAGGAGCTCTTAAAGGAACCCTTAAAGAAACCCTTGAAGGAACCCTGAAAGGAGCCCTTAAAAAGCCTTTGAAATTAGTTCCAGAAACCTGTGGCTGTCTGAGGATGCCTTTTGTGGGCTTCCTTTGCGGCCGCGAGGATGACGACTGCTTGCTGAGGCAGCGTATCTGAAGTAGCAGAGCAAGAGGCTTAGGATGGTCTATAGGGTTTTAGGGTTTAGTGGGGCTTAGGGTTTAGGGTTGAATGGGGTTCGGGGTTTAGTAAGGGCTTGGAGTTTGGGATTTAGGGGGGTTTAGGGTTCAAGGTTTAAAGGGGTTTAGGGTTTAGGAGTGCTGCAATTGATGGGTGTTTTGACACATTAACCAGGCTTAGCGTGTCGGATTTATGTTGCAGGTCCTTATGGTCGTAAGGAACTTATCATGTAGGATCCCAAGCTTTCAGCACAACTCCATGTGGGGCGGGCTTCAGGCCTTCAATAGCTTTTTCCGGCCAAATTTGAGAAGCCCAGTGCACTTAGGACAGACCTTCGGGGTTGAGGGGTTAGACCCTAAACCCTAAACCCTAAACCCTAAAACCTAAACCCTAAACCGTAGAGTTTATAGGGCCTCGAGTCCCAAAATATTCGGATCTTTAATTATTCCATTTTAACCCTTCCTGAACAATGGGATTCTTTTGGTATATTGAATATTGGTCCCGCACTTACACTTTCGGACCCCCATGATACGAATCTTGAAGGCTGTAGCTTTTGGGTTTGGTGTTGTATCTTTGAGGCTTGACGGTTTTAGGGCTTTGGCTGTTGGGGAACGAAGTTTGGCGTGTTCAATGTTTCGGGGTTTTAGGGTTCCTGGGTTTCAGTTTGCTGTTGAAACAGCTTCCTTGTTAAAGGAACTCTTATGGATCGCTTTAAAGCAGCCCTTATAGATCACTTTAAAGGAAAAGTCCCAGCTCCCTCGCCTTCAGCTTCAAGTTCAACAGCCAGGATCTGTGGGCGCCCATCGCGGCCGCCACGCGGGGCACTCTGTTCATCGTTTGGGATGGGGTTCCACGGTTTCAAGGTTTAGGTATCCCTAAACCCGACAACTTCAAACCCTGAAACCTAAAGCCCCAAAACCCCTAAGCCCTAAGCCCCTAACCCCCAAACCTCTAAGCCCTAAACGCTGGGTTTTGGGGTTTTACGGGATAGGAATCTCTTGGCACATGCTGCTGAACATCGCATTTCAGACGCCGAGTCCCTCTGATGTCATTGCCTTCTGGGCCTTCCCGAAAACCTGGGCCCTCGGTTCTGAGCCCTATAATCTGAACCTCAAGCCCTGAATCCTGGACCCTAAACCCTTTAATATAATCCTACACCATATTTCCGTACATCCTGAACCCTAAACACCTTGAAATCCTAAATCCCGAGCTCCAAACCCTAAACCTGCCTAGTTTAGGTGCCGAGGGTGCGCCGGCTGTCGCTGTAGAGGCATGTTGCGACTGCAGACTTTAGATGCGACGTGACGGCGTGGGTTTAGGGGTT